GATATATTCTTAGAGAGGGCAAATACTTTCTAAAATTAGTGCTATAACCTACTCTGATAAGTAAAAAGGTTTCCTGGTAATGATAGCATGATTGAATTAGGGCGAGCAACTCTATACCATTGATTATTTGCTTTCTGGGTATTGATCGAGGGATCTCTGTTCGGGTATTATCTAATGATGTGGAATGACCAGTATTATTTGTCTTGTTTATGTCATTTGTCCTTTTTGGTGACTGTGTAATTGTGATATATATTATTTATGTATGTAAATGTTATTGTAATATTAAGACTTTTTTGATGCTATATGGGAGGATTGTGTACTCCCTTTAAGGTGTATGTTAAATTTTTCTATAAATTAATAAAAATAAAATAAAAAAAGAGATGTCACATAGACATAGGTGCAAAACTACATATATGATGGACATGCTTGAAACTCAGTACATTTTGGCTTCAGGTAGCTACCATCATCACAAAGTTCATAGGTATTTCACATTCCTCCATCCATTGAGGAATGTTTACTATACAAATTTCCAGAGGGAATACCAAAACCATTTAACATTGTATAGCATATTTTGACCACAGCTGCTATACTCCTGGCAAAGAGATGGAGATCTGAGTCGATCTCCTTGGACATTGAACTATTGTTCCAGATTACAACCAATATTGATTATGAGCAAAAGGCCTCTACCTAACTCCCCATAGAGAAAGCTTCTAAAAGAAGCAACCCAGCTTTGGAGAACATGTATTGCTAAATACCATGAACACACATACCGTGCTTAGCAACATAGGATTTACAGTTGTAATCAAAATTATTCAACCTCCATTTAAAATCAGGTTTATTGTATTGTCAAAATGTACAGACTTCCAGTGGTTTCCCCAACTGAAAATGCAACTTTTGAAGTCTCAAAATTATTCAACTTCTGGCAAGTATCATTACTACTTAGCAGAGCACCCTTTTGCTTTTATGACCTGCTGCAAACGAGATGCATAGCCAGGCACCAGCTTCTGGCAGCGTTCTTGAGGAATCTTAGCCCATTGCTCATGAGCAATGGCCTCCAGTTCAGTAATATTCTCGGGTTTGCATGCTGCAACCACCTTCATCAAATCCAACCAGAGATTTTCTATGGGATTCAAGACAAATGACTGTGATGGCCACTGTAGAATTTTTCCAGGACTACAACCAAGTCTTGGTGGAATTTGAGGTATGCTTTGGATCATTGTCTTGTTGGAAGGTCCAATGACACCCAAGCTTCAGCTTCCTGTCAGATGCCATGATGTTTTCTCCTAGGATTTCCTGATGCTTTAATGAATCTATCTTGTCTTCCACACGCTGCAAGTTTCCAGTGCCACAAGATGCAAAGTAGCCCCAGAGCATCACCAAGCCACCACCATGCTTAACTGTAGGTAAAGTTTATTTCAGCAGATGTTTCATTCTTCCTCCAGACATACTGTTGATCCATTGGGTAGACAGGTTCCAGTTTTGTTTCATCATTCCACATCCCCAAAACTTCTGTGGCTTATTTAAATAATTTTGTAGCCAACTTTTTTTGTGCTTTTGGGTCATTAGTGGTCTACATCTTTGAGTTCTGGCATGGAAAGATCCTGCATCGCCTTACTGTGCTCACTGAAACCTCATTGCCTGTTGCTACCAAGTCTTGCTGCAGGTCTTCTGCAGTCACTCGAGTACTTTTCATAACCTGCCTTCTCAGAAATCTGGTTGCAGGCATTGATAGCTCCCTTTTTCTGCCCTGTCCTGATAGGGTAACCACTGTTTCTTCAACTTTGAACTTGGGAACTATGCTCCAACGGTGTCTCTATAAACATTCAGTGCCTACTCTATCTTTTTGTATCTAGGTTCTTGTTTGCAAAGGGCGACGATCTCTTCTCTTAACTTTGTGACATATTTCTAACACGCAGTCAAACGTAACACTCCAAGTTCTAGCCAGTTCAGGTATTTCAAGAGTTCCAGCCCAAGCACACCTGGTGCAATTAGTTGTATTAAGATGTGCTTGAGACAACATGTGTTTTTCATATTTGTGCTGTTGTGAGGGATTCTATTCAGGGAGTTGAATAATTGAGACTGGAGAAGTTAGAAGTTTTTGTTTGAATGGTTCATTCCAGACAGCTGAAAAGTCTGTAAATTTTGACAAACTTTATTTTCAATGGGTGTTGAATAATTTTGATTACAACTGTACATACTTAATTTCCACCCAACACTTCACATACTACAAAGAGAATAAGGTGGGGAGCTCACAGGGTGTTTTATAAGAGGTGTAAAATCCATCAGTTTGAGACAAAGTATACAAAGTGCAATACTACTACTACTACAAAAAAAAAAAAAAAAACACACACCAATTCCAAACATAACACAATTTGGGGGATGGGAGGAGTGTCAAACCCAGATACAAGAAAACAATGTTATTTTTTAATTTGTGTTAGTTACATTGCTATTTTTATTATGTTTGTCTCAGTCAGTAAATAAATACTTGATATGTTTGTCAAAAGCAGTGAGCAGACATCTGTATTGTGAATGTGTAGATGTAATTCCATCTGCCTGATTAATGACCATAATACAAAGCTTGGTCATATTGATATGTAAACTAAGTTACTCAATGTGATGATCTATTTTCGCAGTTAATGTAACAAATGGGAGTTCAATTGTATGTATTTCATGATGTAGATATCTAAAATGTGTGTGTAAACTGCAACTGCCTCAATGTGTGGAAAAAAACTCAAAATATGCGTTTAAAAAAAAAAAAAAAAAGTGGGACAGATAGTGTGTAGTCACAATACTGAGACTTTAATCTAATTTGTCTTAAATATAACTTGCAGTGAAGAGAAAAATCAGGCTGCAAACGACTCCATCACTTTCCACTTTTTATGGATTATGGACAGAATGTTTTAAGAGGCAAAACAAATGGGAAAAAAAGCTAAAGCAGGGAAAAAACAAGAAGTAAAACTCACGTCTGAATTTCCAGGGCTTGCGGTAATTATATAAGGACCAACAAATGGCTCATAAACTACCAGTCAAGCTCACAGAAGCTACAGTCGCTGCTGTACTTCCTCTCTCACAAACTGGGCAAGGAGACAACTTCAGATAAAATAACATCAAGATACAACGTGAACAAAACACTAAATACAAATAATAGCTAAGTTAAGTCATGCGTGGTGTATGACTGTACTTTTAAGAGTTCATGGTCCAAGGCACAAAGAATATTAAATGTAACTAAATCTTACATTCTCTCACTTTTTACATAGGCAGAAAATGGTTAATTCATGTTTACGTAAATAAACAAATAGTGAGCATTATAAGTATGGAATTTAGAATCAGATTGTAACATGTATGGCCACAATGTCCAGACAAAACTGAACTAGCTCACAAGCTTTACTGCAACATTTGTATGCAGTTTCAGGGTTGCGGTTTCCCTAATATCTATTTTCCCAGTCTCAGGTTTTCAGTATATGTATATATAAAAAATATATGCATCGGACACCAGCCATCTTTGTTTCTTCTGCAATTCAACAAAAATCAGTTTAGGATCAAATGCTGTTCTGGGCTTCTATACAATTTAAAACTACTACATGTATATTTCTTCCTGTCGTGAAACAGGACTTGTCCAGTAACAGACTGAAATATGCCACAATCCCCACACGCCAGACATCAAGATTCTCGGAAATCAATTTTACAAATAGACCATCGGATCTTCACTTCTTCTGAAAGAATCCCATGATGGAGGCTTGCTTGGTGCCTTTATTGGCCACAGAGGACTTCTTGGGTGGTTTGGATTCTGTTTTCACTTCTTGCTTTGCGGCTCCTAGAGTTGATGGCTTTGAAGTACCTGCTGGTTTCGAGACTGCAAACTCGTCTTCACTGTCTGTGCAAGACTGACTCTCATATACTTTTTCTGTCACTGTGGAATAAAGAGCAAACAATACAGCTATTTAAATAATGAATAATTAGGATTTGTCGCAAATCTGCATAGGTTTCTTAAAATCCCAACTTCTTTAAGTTGTCAACTCAAAAAGAGGAGCACATATTAACTTCAATATGGACTCATCTCAGAAAGTGGCCAGAGGTGGGAAAAGAATGTTGGGAATGGCAAATGTATTTACATTAAATGCTATTTCTGTGTCATTATAGAGGGAGATCAAAATGACAGAAAAATAATACATTTTAATCTATGTAAACAGAATGCTATATTAAAAAAAAAAAAAAACACTTAAAAATATAAAAGTAAATAAAAATATTACATGTTCTACAAATACAGCAATGTCACAGACCTGCCACATAATGAATTTTACAGATTGAAGAAAAGTACATCATACCTATACACCCTTCCTCGTCCATAAACGTTTTCGATTTTAAAACACGCTTGCGTTTTCTTCTTTTCCCTCCAGGCAGTACCTTCAAAAACACAAACAGCTATTAATCCCAATCCCATTACAAATAAAATCAATAAAATCTGTTCTACGTCATAGGGATGGCTCAGTAGTTAAAGGGACACTGTAGGCACTATATACACTTTATCCCATTCAACTGACTCTAGTGTCTAGAATCCCCTGGTGCCATCATTTCATGCAGTAAGTAACTGTTTTTAATGTTTTAATACTAAACGAGTCCCCCGCAGTCCTTACACTCTGTGCTGCTTTGGCTGATGAGGAAGTATCAGTCTGAGCAGCAATGGGCAGATGTGATTGGTTGAGGGTCAGCTGACTGCTTTTAGCCTATCAGAGCTCCAGCTAATGGTAAAAGGGGTATGACTACAATGAAGTATATAATCTCTGCCTTAGCCACACCTGCAGAAGGGGCTGGACTGCGAGAAGACAAGGACCCTTGTTTAGTGTTAAACTGCTCTAAAAGGTTTAGCACTGAACGGAGGGACAGTGCCAGGGGACCCCAGGCTTTATAACCATTTCAAAGAAGTAAACTTGTTATAGTGACTACAGTGTGCCTTCAAAAGAAAGCTAACTAGCTGCATCAGGACAGGTTTATTCCCAGCAAGATCAAATTAATTTCAAATATTTGCGTAATATAATTTCATCTGCTAAAATAGAGTTCTCCAAAACACTGGCCCTCCAGATGTTGCTGAACTACAATTCCTGAGATTCTCTGACTATTTCATTCAAAAACTCATGGGAGTTTCAGATTCTGCATATTATTAAGCTTGCCCTCTAGAAAACAACAGCAGAGGTAGTCTGAGTGGCATGTTCAAGATTAACTGCTATCAGATGAAGTGGAGATAGCACAACCTAAAAACAGGTTATTTGGTTATTTATTAAAATTTGCTTCTTATCTCGCAGATTACACCATCAGTCCATTCATTAATTTATTGCTAGACAAAAGGATAAAAAAAACAAAACAAAAAATCAGTGGTAATATAGCCAACTAAAAGATATATATAAAAATACAAAAAGGAAAGTAAGTGACACACCTTAAAACAGAAGACTCCCTCTAAGCCTTATAAACAACAGAGATGAGTCAAACAGGGGGGATAAAGGTTGCGTCAGAAATTATACAAACAGAGGTGTGTTATAACTATATCTATCTCTATATATAAACAAACATCTCCTTTATCCCCCGTTTGATTAATTTATTGCTGCATGTAAGGAGACCAGTAGCTTGCCTTGTTAAAGGTCTTCTAGAACAGAAAGCTAATCAAAGTTGTGGTGACCTCTCGTACCTGTGGCTGGGTATCCGTTTCCATTTTCAAAACAGGCTCAGGAGCAGGAGGTGGTGGTGGAGAAGGAGTCTTCACATCACGAGGAGGTGGAACATCTGAAAGAAAGAATTTGTGTTAAAACCAAGAATAGCCTTTGCACTAAACAGATTGACAATGGTTTATCAGGATGTAAAACAGCTGGTCCCCAACATATTAGGGACTTGTGTTGGTCACAAACATACTTTACGTCTAAAATGACCAAACTTGTTTTCCATTTGTTTAGAGCTTCTGCGATGACCAATAACACATTCAGTTTCAACCAAAAGTTTATATCAGCTTCACATATAAAGCTGGCAAAAATAAAATGTATACAATTCTTGAAAAGCCACATGTGGTGACACAAATGGCTAGTCTGCTAAATGCAACCACCTACCTGGGTACATTAAAAGGATACGTTTTCAGGGACAGCTTCTTAAGCCTCATAACTAGTACAACGTATTGTAGTGGTTAAGAATGTCCAATTAAATAATTTACAGAACACATGAAAAGTAAGGGACATCCAGGACAGCTATTAAAAAGTGTCATGTTTTAGCTCACAACAAGTATGTAGACATAGGAGTGTGAAATCCCACAAAGAAAGATCTAACTGTTTTATGTTGTCACACCTAAAATTAACATTTGGTATGGGCATATGCAAATACTACAAGTTTTTAGAATGAAAAGTTGGATTTCTTAAACTGTGTACTTTGTCTTTAAGAGATTCTGCAAACTGACAAATTGTTAGAAATGGAAAATATTGTTTTTCATACAATGTTTCTTTAATAAATGACCTCTTACCCATATTCAGTGAATATGGTGTTCAGACTTTGGGACGTCATGTTGTCCTAGGTTAGTGGAATTCCCCAAGTCAAGGCATTTCTCACGTCATGTGTACTCTTACGTTTTACTCTAAAAACATAGATAACATGTTCCCATGTGAAATGACCAAGTTATGGCCTTGTATCTTTGCCAAGTTAAGGTAGGTCCTACCATGACCCAATTAAAAATATAAGGTATAAATGTGTGTACTTCTTAATATTAGGACACAGAGGAGAGATTTTGGAGATAGTCATGATAAAACAAGGCAGCGTCTGAGAGGATGACATGTTCAAGATGGTATGTTATTCTATTTTATTGATACTGTAAGCATATACTTTAATCTTATAAACTCTGCTATACATTATTTTAATGGATTAACAACCCCTTAACGCCGTTACGGCATTCTATGCCGTCCCGCATTAAGTGGGCTTTAAAACCGTTGCGGCGGCATAAAACGCCGTAACGTCTTTGAGCCCTGGAGCGCCCGGGATACTTACCTACCCGGTGCTCCGCTTCGAGAGGACTGCCTCACAGCCCAGGCAGCCCTCCCACGGCAAATGAGGCCCCCGGGGGCCATGTGATCGCTCTCAAAGAGCGATCACATGGCCCCCTATAGCTGGCTGTGGATCTGCCAGCAGGGGGACTGTCTGAAAAGTCAGACAGTCCCCCTGCTGGTAGGAAATATAAAAAAAAAAAAATTAAATATGTTTTAAAATAAAATAAAATATATATATATATATATATATATATATATATATATATATATATGCACACATATATAATGTATTTTAATATAATATAAGCACATATATTAGTATTAAAATACACTTAGTGACGCTCAGGGCCGGATTAACATAGGGGCTTCTCGGGATGCATTGCAGCCTGTGCCCAGGCCCATGGAATAGTCTATTTAAAAAAGTTAAAAAAATAATTGCTTTTTTACACACTACTCTTAGGTTTGCCACCCGACTGGTATTTTAATGGCACAGACGGTATTTGAGGCTGCCTGGCCCTGCTGGTATTGCAGTAATACCAGCAATACAAATGCAGGTAATTTTCTCAGAATAAATGGAAATTACTCTGCAATACCAGCACCGGCCAGTAGGGGTCACTGTGTGTGGAGAGAGGCAGGGATAGGAAGTTATAGAATATCCCTGCCTCTCTCTACTACTCACTGATCCATGGGGGAGCAGCTACACAGCACAGGGAGTCCAGACAGCAGCTCTACAGCTCAGGTAAGTGAGGGATCGGGGGAAAGGCAGCAGGGACACATGGGGACACTGAGACACTAGGGGACACATTGGGGAAACTGAGACACTAGGGGACACATGGGGACACATACACTAGGGGACACTGAGACATTAGGGGACACATGGGGACCCTTAGACACTAGGGAACACAGACACTAGGGGACACATGATGACACATACAGTAGGGGACACTGAGACACTAGGACACAGACCCTGGGAACACTGAGACACTTGGGGACACTGGAAAACATGGGGACACTGAGACACTTGGGGACATATGGGGACACTGTCACTAGGGGACACTGAGACACAAGGACACATGGGGACACAGACACTGGGAGACCTGGGGACACAGACACTAGGGGACGCTGAGACACTAGGGGACGCTGAGACACATGGGGACGCTGAGACACATGGGGACGCTGAGACACATGGGGACGCTGAGACACATGGGGACGCTGAGACACATGGGGACATTGGGAGACATTGGGACATGGAGACACTATGTCCCCCAGCCAGTGTCCCTAGTGTATCAGTGTCCCCAAGTCTTCCAGTGTCTGTGTCCCATGTCTCTCAGTGTGCCTAGTGTCCCCATGTGTCCCAGTGTCCCAGTGTCCCCATGTCCATGTCCACAACTGTCTCCATGTCTCCCCAAGTGTCTGTCTCCCAGTATCCCCTAGTCTCCCAGTGTCCACTAGTCTCCCAGTGTCTGTGTCCCTAGTGTCTTAGTGTCCCCATGTTTCAGTGTCTCCATGTCTCCCAGTGTGTTCCTAGTGTCTCAGTGTGCCTGGTGTCCCCATGTCTCCCAGTGTCCCTATATGTCCCAGTGTCCACATGTCTATGTCCACAACTGTCCCCATGTCTCCTAGTGTCCCCAAGTGTCTGTCTCCCAGCCAGTGTCCCCTAGTCTCCCAGTGTCCCCTAGTCTCCCAGTGTCTGTGTTCCCATGTCTGTGTCCCTAGTGTCTTAGTGTCCCCAAATGTTTCAGTGTCCCCATGTCTCCCAGTGTCTGTGTCACTAGTGTCTCAGTGTCCCCATTTCTCCCAGTTTCCCTAAATGTCTCAATGTCCCCGGGTCTCAGTGTCCCTGGGTCTCTCAGTGTCCCCAGTATCCTAGTGACATGGGGACACACTGAGACATTGGGACACTGGGAGAAATGGGGACACAGACACTGGGAGACTAGGGGACTGGGCGACACAGGGACACTGACACTGTGATAGATAGGGACACTGAGACACTGGGTGACTTGCGAGACTGAGACACTGGGAGACACTGGGAGCAATCCATCTATACAGCAGAATCAAACTGTGAGTAGTTTGGTGATTTTATAGAATTTTCTCTGATGTCACTCCTTGTAATTTACATCATGTGATGTCACGCATAACTAATTATACAAATTATTAAGGCTGGTATTTTTTTCCAAGAAAGGTGGCAACCTTAACTGGCAACCTTAACTACTCTTCACATACTCTTGCTTAAAGAAGCACTATAGGGTCAGGAACACAATCATGTATTTCTGACCCTATTATGTTAAAACCACCACCCTGGCCCCTTCTTGCCTCCCTAAATATAGTAAAATATTACTTGTATTAAATTCTGCAGCTGCTGGCTCAGAAGTGGTGGTCTGAGCAAATTACAATACTTCCCCATAGGAAGACTGTCAACTAGGAAGATCAGGTGCAGAGCCAGCACAAGTCCAACATAGCCCTGGCCAATCAGCATCTCCTCATAAAGATAAATTGAATCAATGCATCTCTATGAGGAAAGTTCAGTGTCTACATGAAGAGGGTGGAGACACTGAATGGCAGTGCTGCACACTAGGCAGTACTGCCCCAGGAAGCACCTCTAGCAGCCATCTAAGGAGCAGCCAGTGGAGTTATTTTCTCTGAAAAGACAGTGTTTACTGCAAAAAGCCTGAATGGAATGATTCTACTTACCAGAACAAATACAATAAGCTGTAGTTGTTCTGGTGACTATAGTGTCCCTTTAAGTTTGGAAGCTTAAGAGGGATGTATTGGAACAAAACTTGTGTGCACTTGCTGACATTAAAGTTAGTTTAGGTAATGCAGTTTAGGTTGGTCTCTCTAACACTGTGGCATGTCCCCTTTCTTCTACACTCACTACAGACATCTTTTCTCTGTCTCAGACTATATACCAGGAACTTCTGCCTGCTAGTAAGAAGGTAAGGAGACAAGTGAACCAGCGAGTGCTAGGGGACAGTCCTTAGAAAGAATGGAGTAAGCGTATCATTAGACGCATTTATGTCAAGCTCAAGGTGCTGCCTACATAGTATGCCCTTAGTTGGACAACCTGCAGGATTGGCAGGCAGCCTGACATGCATTCATGCCAGGCTGACCTTCCAATTCTTTGGACAAACGTTCCCCTTTTTGGGCATGTTCCCCCCTTTTGGCAGGTCTTGTCACGTGACACCCTTTTACCCCGCCCATTGACTTCCTGCTTCACTGGACACTGCTGTTAGGGGTTATGGATTTACTTGAAAGATGAAAACATAAATTAGAGAGGGATTAGCATAGAGTATGTGTTTTCTTATAGCTGCATCCTATGAGTTTCCCTCCAGCACCATCTCTATCAGATACATGACGCTTGGGAGGTATGATTGTTTTAGTGTTTTTGGTCAATAAGATTCCGTAATTAGGCCCATCATAATTGTCAGCACCAGGCCCACTGTGCTCTTAATCCGGCCCTGGTGACGTTACACATATATAATATGAATATATTATATATAATAGATATACACGTATAATTACAATAATAAATACATTGAAACAAAAATTATATATTCATATGTAATTTCATTCTAACTGTATTTTGTTATATATATATATATATATATATATATATATATATATATATATATATATATATATGTAACAAAATACACTTAGAATGACATTCTATATATATCTATCTATATATAAAATACAAATAACCGCAAATATATATATATATATATAGATAAATACATATAATTACATAAAAGATTACATTAGTATACACATAGAATTTAAATACCTATAAATGCATATATATTAAAATTCTACATGTATATTTAAGTAATCTTTTAACATAATTATGTGATTTGATTAATTCAAATTTGATTGACATGCCTGACAACACAGGGAGAAAGTGCAGAGAATTTAATTCGCAAGCACTATATTTGACCCTGTAACTCTCCAAGACACCATAAAACCTGTACATAGGGGGTACTGTTTTACTCAGTAGACTTCGCTGAACTCAAATATTAGTGTTTCAAACTGGTAAATTGTATTACAACGATGATATTTTAAGTAAAAGTGAAGTTTTTTGCATTTTTTACAAACAAACGGCACTTTTATGGACTATATTATTGTTGTAATATGTTTTACTGTTTTAAAACACTAATATTTGTGTTTAGTGAAGTCTTCCGAGAATAACAATACCCCCCATGTACAGGTTTTATTGTGTTTTGGAAAGTTAGAGAGTCACATATAAGGCTTGCATTTCATTTTTTTGACATTGAAATTTGCCAGATTGGTTATGTTGCCTTTGAGAGCGTATGGTAGCCCAGGAATGAGAATTACCCCCATGATGGCATACCATTTGCAAAAGTAGACAACCCAAGGTATTGCAAGTGGGGTATGTCCAGTCTTTCTTAGTAGCCACTTAGTCACAAACACTGGCCAAATATTAGTTTTTTGCTTTTTCACACAAAAACAAATATGAACGCTAACTTTGGCCAGTGTTTGTGACTAAGTGGCTACTAAAAAAGACTAAACATACCCCACTTTCAATACCTTGGGTTGTCTACTTTTTAAAATGGTATGCCATTATGGGGGTAATTCTCATTCCTGGGCTACCACACCGTCTCAAAGGTAACATTACTAATCTGGCAAATTTCAATTTGAAAATGGAACGTTCTATATTTGACCCTGTAACTTTCCAAAACACCATAAAACCTGTTAATGGGGGTACTGTTGTACTTGTGAGACATCGCTGATTACAAATATGTGCATTTTTTTTTTGCAGTAAAACCTAACAGTATCATGACATTCACAGCTAAACTGTCAGACGGAAATACAAATTAAAAAAATTAAAAGAAATTAAAAATCTTATTTTCTCACTTTTTTTAAATTTTATTCATAATAAATTATGTTCAATATATGAATAGTTAATGATAAATTAAAGCCCTGTTTCTCCTGAACAAAATGATATATAATAAGTGTGGGTGCACTTAATGTGACAGCGGTGAATTATGGTTGAACAGACATATAGCGCAAATTCCAGTTTTTGTTTACGTTTTGTTTAGATCAGAACATGCACTATTGACTCCGTCCTGAAGGGGTTAAGGTTTTATATATGTCTATTTTTTATTTTTATTTTTTTTTTTATATATTTCTTAAATAAAACACCTTTATTGCTTCCAAGACAATCCCTATTTTATATTGTATTCTCAATTATTTATGTATTTTAAATAGAGGAACTCTCACCAACTATATAATATCATGGCTAAGATATCTGTACGGTAAGCTAAATCCCATGCTTTAAGAGGTTATAGTGGTAAATAGGGGAACCAGCTGCAGTTACACAGTTTAGCTAAGCACATTATAATCAAGCCTCTGTGCCTCTCCAGACTGTTCCCAAGCAAAAGACCTTTGACAAGTTTAGAAGCAGTGACCTTTTCTAGGTTAGCAAGAAGCGACACTATGAAATAAAGAGTAGTGTATTGAGGGGAGAGACGAGGACGAGAAGAGAGACCCCAATGCCTTGACGCAAACTCATGCAATGTGTTGCCGAGCTCTCGCTGTGCAGGGAGGTCCTAATCTTTCTATCTAAAAGCACACTTTGCTTTTTCGCTCAGCAGTCGGTGTCAGATCTTATTAATACACTCAATGAGTCGTTCGTAGATTTGATCCAAAGTCGCAGTGGGACAGTGTAGAAAACAAACAGCACATGAAAGGGGACGAAGGGTGTGAAGTCTACTAGCATGGCATGACTGCGCAGTGACTTGACGTGAAAAATGTTGGGTGACAAAAAGAAGGAGCCAATTACATCTTGATGGTGTGAGTAGCTTTGTTTTGGCAGATGGATCAGCAGGACATTACACAGCCCTGAACTTAAGAACAGAGTAAACAGTGTGTGGGTGTGAAACCAAAGCACCATCAGCGTAAAGTAGATTTATACCTTGGGAGGCAATAAAACCTAATAACTTTGCTATTTAAGTAGATTACATGGTGGTGTTTTGTTTATTAAAACCTGAATTCTTTTGCTACCAAATATGCAACAGTAATCAGTCATTACATAACCTAGAATTAAAGTGAACTGGTCACCAGATATGTATTAGGGAAACGTAAACCAATAAAGAAAATAAATAACCAATTCCATAAAATAACAGTTTTTTTAAAAACAGTGAGCCGAAGTGGTCTAGGTGCCTACAGTGTCCCTTTAAAGACTTGATACATTTCTGGTACATCACTAATTCTTTCAAAGTATAAAAAGATTTGTCTAACCGATCTTGTCTATTAAAAAGGGACACTCCATTACCCAAACACAAAATAAATACAAATCACAGTTCAATAGATATATTTCAAACATAAACATGCATGCTTTTAATATATATATATATATATATATATATATATATATATATATACACATACATATATATACATATATATATATATACATATACACACACACACACACACACACACAGTTACAAGAGAAAAAGTATATGAACCCTTTGGAATGATATGGATTTCTGCACAAATTGGTGCATAAAATGTGATCTGATCATCATCTAAGTCACAACAATAGACAATCACAGTCTGCTTAAACTAATATACACCAAAGAATGAAATATTTACTTACATGTTTTTATTGAACACACCATGTAAACATTCACAGTGCAGGTGGAAAAAAGTATGTGAACCCTTGGATTTAATAACTGGTTGAACCTCCTTTGGCAGCAATAACTTCAACCAAACGTTTCCTGTAGTTGCAGATCAGACGTGCACAACGGTCAGGAGTAATTCTTGACCATTCCTCTTTACAGAACTGTTTTAGTTCAGCAATATTCTTGGGATGTCTGGTGTGAATCGCTTTCTTGAGGTCATGCCACAGCATCTCAATCGGGTTGAGGTCAGGACTCTGACTGGGCCACTTCAGAAGGTGTATTTTCTTCTGTTTAAGCCATTCTGTTGTTGATTTACTTTTATGCTTTGGGTCATTGTCCTGTTGCAACACCCATCTTCTGTTGAGCTTCAGCTGGTAGACAGATGGCCTTAAGTTCTCCTGCAAAATGTCTTGATAAACTTGGGAATTCATTTTTCCTTCGATGATAGCAATCCGTCCAGGCCCTGACGCAGCAAAGCAGCCCCAAACCATGATGCCCCCACCACCATACTTCACAGTTGGGATGAGGTTTTGATGTTGGTGTGCTGTGCCTCTTTTTTTGCCACACATAGTGTTGTGTGTTTCTTCCATTTGCCAGTGACTTTTGTAAGTCTTTAGCTGACACTTTAGGATTCTTCTTCACCTCATTGAGCAGTCTGCGCTGTGCTCTTGCAGTCATCTTTACAGGACGGCCACTCCTAGGGAGAGTAGCAGCAGTGCTGAACTTTCTCCATTTATAGACAATTTGTCTTACCGTGGACTGATGAACAGCAAGGCTTTTGGAGATACTTTTATAACCCTTTCCAGCTTTATGCAAGTCAACAATTCTTAATCGTAGGTCTTCTGAGAGCTCTTTTGTGCGAGGCATCATTCTCATCATGGAAATCTTCTTGTGAAAAGCAAACCCAGAACTGGTGTGTGTTTTTTATAGGGCAGGGCAGCTGTAACCAACACCTCCAATCTCATCTCATTGATTGGACTCCAGTTGGCTGACATCTCACTCCAATTAGCTTTTGGAGATGTCATTAGTCTAGGGGTTCACATACTTTTTCCACCTGCTCTGTGAATGTTTACATGGTGTGTTCAATAAAAACATGGCAACATTTCATTCTTTGTGTGTTATTAGTTTAAGCAGACTGTGATTGTCTATTGTTGTGACTTAGATGATGATCAGATCACATTTTATGACCAATTTGTGCAGAAATCCATATCATTCCAAAGGGTTCACATACTTCTTCTTGCAACTGTATATATTTTATTGAGGATATATCTTAAAACAGTTTGCAAAACCTGCATTTTGCTTGTATGCTATCTAGGCAAGTCCTCCGCCTTCTAACCCCGCCCAGACTTTGCGACTGTCCAATCACAGACTTCCAATGCATCTCATTGAGACATCTTTGCAAGACAGGTGCTCAGTGCAATTGCTGCCTCTTGAGTTTAGCTAACCAAACCAGGAAGTAAAATCACCTGTTGTCTGCTTGAAGGCTAAGAGGGTGTAACCAGCTTAATTTATAAAAGTGTCAGTTTCTATTGCAAGTACCGAACGCAGGTTATGATGTTAGTCCAGTGGTGTTCGGGAGTTTGAGACCGAAAACAGTTCCACGAACTCAACAACCAAACACCGCTTCCTGCGTTCGCGGGAACAAGACGGTCGCCACCTTGTGGTCGACCATACGAACTGTGGCCAACCACATGAACAACAACGCTGCGGTTAGAATAGTTAAGAGGTGATTATAGGGGCAGGGATAGGGATAGTTTAGTAAACTGATTTCGAAATGGCCTTAGGGATTGAAATGATACAAATATAAAAAGAGGAATGAAAAAATGCCTCTGAGTCCCAAAAGATAGTCCTAACACAGACTCTGGAATTGAAAGTGAGTTTGCAGACCTCTAAATGTCTAACTATACAGTTCACCAGGTTAAAGTAACAGGAGACTTGGTTTCCTAACACTTACCTTCGTCGTCACTGCTGTCAGCCATGGGCTGTTTAATCCGTCTTCTCTTTTTCACCGATTTGTTTTCTTCCTCTTCACAGTCTGAGATCTCAGCTCTTTTCCCCTTGCTGTGAGTAGAGAGAAGCCTTAAAGCATGTCGTCTCCTTTCATTGGCTTAGAAAAAATAACTTACATTGGAAAAAATTATAGCTACTTCATTAAATAAGACTTTATAGATAAATCCAGCGCGTATCTATTCATATTGGTGTGGATTAAAAGGAATTAGAGTGGGATGAATTGACAAACAGGTTTTTGCACAAATATAGTGTCTAATACACAATTTTGTTACTAAAAATGCCATGTAACAAAGTAATTGAAACTGGCTCTTGCTTCTTATTTCATAAAGATAAACTATTTCTGAAATACATAATACATAAAACTACAATTCAAAATCTATATCAAAATAGTCAGCTGGGATTTAGCAAGTTAAAGCGGAGAACCCTCCATCCATTTATTTTCTGAAATTATTTTCATTATGGAAGTATGTATAAATGGCAAATATTGGGTAACGTTCAAAAATGTGGAGTAATCAGCAGGAACATTCCATTGGTTCCATGGTGAACACTCCATTTTTAGAATGTTGTCCCACAATGCCTTTGAAAAAGAAATACACACAAGGATGTTATTTATAAAGTTTGTAGTAGGTTTGGAGATGTTAAGGTTTAAAATGTTATATAGCAAAGATTTTAGACCTGCAAATTACCATTATGTGTCTTCGTGTTAACTTTTGCAGAAGGTTCATAAAAAAAAATGTACAGGGACAACTAAATACCCAAATGAGTAAAAGACTTCTGTCAGTAAGGAAAGTTTACTCCAGAACAGCAATTATGAAAGACTTAAGGGACACTAAGCAACAAAACAACTTTAGCTTAATGAAACAATTTTGGTCAATAGATCATGCTCTTGTAGTGTCACTGCTCAATTCACTGCAATTTATGAGTCAAATCACTTGTGTTTTCGGTTTATCCAGGCTTAACCACTCCTCGTCTTGCTGTGTCTCAATTTATTTTAAAACTTTGTCTCCTGTTCTGTTAATTGAATTTTAAATCATTTCCATGAGGCTCTGCAGACTCTAGCAATCTATTAACAGAGAACGAGATGAGAAATTCTAAATTAAACAGACTGTGCAATGAAGAAAATGTAAACATTGGATCTCTCTTTACAGGAAGTGTTTAGGACAGCTATGTAAAATCACATACAGGAAGGTGTGAAAATGCAGGGGCATGATATATATACTAAAATTGCTTCATTAAGCTTTTTAATGCTAAATCAGGTTTTACCATTCCGGTGGCTTTGTGTAGTTTCACAATGTATGATCGTAACTTGATATCCATATTGCTCTCTGATGATCTTTAATTACCTTTTCTTGTCCTTTGTCGGAACTTTAGTTGATGTCCCTTTCTTTGTAGGTGGCTCTGGAGGAGGTGAAGAAGCAGGAGCGTGGGAGGAAGCAGTAGACTGAGACACTGGTTCTTCCTCTTGTTTGACGAATTTATTAATGGACGAGGTTTCCTTGATTTTGCCTATTACAGGAAAATAAATATTCACTCTGTGTAATGTTTTGTTTTTACTTTATATCCATGATGGCTAAACTTCATACTGTGGATTCTAGCAAACTTATTTCCCAACATGTAGCCTGGTGGATCTACACTGGCTTCTACCTCAAGCGACATGCCACTATGGCAACATAACACTTAAAAGAAAAAGAAGGGCGGAAGGTAAAAAGTGCAAAGTAGGCATTTAACAATAATACCATTTCACAAAAAACTCATATGTTAGGACTGAAGGGCTATGGCCAGAGCAAATACAAACAGGGAGAGCTTTAAGGCTGGCATATTGGATCAAACAAAGTATTGACCACCACTTACCAAGGACCCCCATGTGCCAATCATAAAGCTTACCAAACCTCTATAGCACTGCTGCTCTTATACCACAATTTTAAAATACTAAAGGCTAATTTTAACTCGCCAAGCACAAAACTGTTATACTAGCTTACACAGTGCACCCATAATATGGCTGTTTTACTGGAGTTAAAATCTTCATATGCATCTCCAGAAAAGTGCTTAATGCTGTCCCACATAAGGGTAAATGATAGTGGGTTAACTGCACATTAAACCTTTCAATGCCGAAAGTGCACACACACACACACATTTTTATTTGAAGAGAACGATACTGAAGTGTAGATTCCGAGTGTATTGAGGGACGATTGCTTTAGATTTCATAAAGGAAAAGCCTGCCCCTACAAATTTCGGATAGTCCAATAAAAAAGGTATTATAAGAAGCCTTACTGGACAATAATGAACTAATAGAGCAACTTAAATATCAACACCTGAAAAGTTAGAAGGTAGGAGGACTTGAACTCACTCAAAGAAGCTTTTCCAAAGAAATTATTCATGGCACTTGCTTTAGCAGAGGACTTGCTACTTCCTGCAGAAACCTGGAAAGGAAAACAATTTCCTTAATTCTTCATGGTTACCGGTTTGATTTAATAAGGTGGTTCAGGCCCAAGGACTAACTAATTCTACAAATACCCTGCTGCATGGGCAGTGTTCTAGACAGTATCAGAATTTATATCTCTATGGAAACTCAACTGCAATAAGAATGACTTACTGCTGGTTCCTTGTTTTCGGTCTTAGGTTCTTTATTTGCTTCCTGTGCTTTGGCAGCTGGACGGGAGAACATTCCCATGATGCCCTTGGGCTGCTGAGACGCTGGTTTTGCAGCAGGTTGAGTGATATGCCCATTGATGGTTGGAGCAGCAGCTTGAGGTGCTTCCTCAGTCTGCTGGCTGTGTGCTTTCCGGAGTTGAGACATCACCTCAGCGGACCTTGGCACAGCCTCTGCGCATCGTATGGCACTATACCTAGAAGTCAAATAAATGGTAGACAACATTGGTAACAAGTTTGTCAGGTTGATTTGAATTATTGAGAGGAAAAAAATAAATAAATCTGGTTTGATTTACTGGTTCATTTTACCATGTAAAAAAAAAAAAAGTGTAATGAGTCACGAGTTTTGTATGGTATATACTGTTATACAAAGCAATTCCTGACACAAGCGTACATACTTATTACAGTCCTGGATATTATTCTTGAAGATATCATAGTCCGTGTTGAAAAGCGGGGCGCTGTCCTTTAGAGTGGCTTTCTGGATGCTGTACACGTGAACATTAGCAACCACCGCAAGCTTGGCTTTCATAGCTGTAGAAGCAAATTGAGAAGAGAACATTTTGAATAAATAAAAAAAAAAAAATAATCATAAGACATAGTTCACATTTATGCTAGCAAATCATACTGGGGTGACAGATCCTCTTAAAACGGTACTCTAAGCAAGATTATAGTCTGCCAGGTATTATCAGTAGCAGTTATAGCTCACTGTAGTGGAAAGCTTGGAGGGCTCCAAGTCCAACTCACATTTAAATTTAAGAGGCATATCTTAAGTCCTCTGTCTTCATGCATATCTGTCCAACATTCATCAAATATTCAGATGTTTCCCATCTCACAATGTGACATCGAGAGAGGAGCATGCTGAAGCAATGTTTGGGAAACTAGGGCTCGATTTAATATTTTTTGCATACGTTTAAGATTATGAAAAATATATCTTCACGTTTTGAGATGTTAATATATTGAAAAAGTAATTTGAAAAGTGTATCCAAAAATATTAAATCATTGGAAAGCTTATCCAACAATATTAAATTGATTCCCATGTGTAAACTCAAAGAAACCAGCATTTTCGGAGCTCAGATGAGTACTTCCAGTTGATTTTTAATGACAGTGTAAGCAAATATATTACTTTTTAATAAATCTACATGCTTTTACTGATGTTGGTTATACAGCATATCACTTTCTCATAACATATGAGGTTTGCAACTAGACCACCATAAGGATCTATTGCATACTGGGGTCTGCTTCTCCCAGAGAGGATGAATAGCATCAACATTATAGTGGTTTTATTATTTGAAGTCATTGATTTCAAAGTTTTTGAAAAATGAAATAAGTTTTTAAAGTTATTTTGCATGCCACAATTTATTTACAATTTTTTCCTATGTGAAATGCACTACTGGTGGTTGCACATAAATTAATGCACACCTTATTATAGAGCCAATCAGTCTCACATTTGACTAAGTAGAACATTTAAACAATGCATGCAGTCTGATTATTGGATTTTTATGTAGGAATGAAAGCTAACAAATAATACTTGTAAAAAAAGTGTACCAATGTCTCATATTGGGAATATCTTCAAAATAGCAATCTGTATACTCAAGACCCACCAACAGTCTAGGTTTTATCATTATCTGCATTGGAATAAAACAAAGAAATATATAAAAGCATGGATAGTGGTGGGCCATGAGGACTGGTTTGGGCACCACTGTTCTAGATGATGAACAGGGGTCATCATGGGCACACTGGCCAGTTTGTGGCTACGGAGCAAATTGTGATGCACTGTGTGTTCTGATAAATTTCCATCATTGCCAGCACTAGGTTTTTCAGCAATTTAAGCTACAGTAGCTTGTGTGTGATCTGATCATACGGGCTAGCCTTCGCTTTCCACATGTATTTATGAGCCTTGGGCATCCATGACCCTGATGCCGGTTGTCCTTTTTGCACCCCTTTTGGTTGGTACTAACAACTGCATAGCGGGACCACCACACAAGACTTGCCATTTTGGATATGCTCTGATCCAGTCAAAATACACACTATATATATATATATATATATATATATATATATATATATATATATATATATATATATATATATATATATATATATTACATACAAAGAGAAAAAACAAAAAACAAAAAAAAACATTACCCTAGTTACTTTACCTTCCAGTCTCTCTTCTTTTACTACCGCCACCTTGTGGTACTGCAACAGAAGAAATGTGTTAGCAGCTTATAATACAGTATTATAGAAAGATGAATGTATTCAATGAATGAAGCCTTTAGCCATATATGCTTCACATCAAACAAAACAGAGGAATAAGATGAATAAAATGGTCAGATTACAAAACTAAATGCGTTCACATTAACACACTATGGGGGTTATTTATAAAAAGTATGTTCTGAATAGTGGTTCAAAATGGAGAAAGGACAGAGTCACCGATGGAATGTGCCTGCTGGTTCCACTGGTTTCCAGCTTAGATTAACTGCCTGCTCATCTTGGATAAAAAGAAGGCAGCGTTCCACCTGCGATGGAGCTAAAATGTCCCAAATGCTCCCCAATAACCCTACATTAATTCCATCAAGAGATATAAAGGGGAATGTACACTGCTCAGATGGGTTAAATGGGGTGTGAGGAGCTAGACCGTGTGTGCTGCTCAGGAAATGTGGTTTACTAGCGGCATGGGGAAATGGGATACAGCATGCAAAATAGCATTTGTTGCTCAAGGTTTCAACAATACAAAATTTAGACTTCAGTAATTTTCTTTTTTTATTATTATAAGAATCGTTGCAGTATGCAATGAAAAGATATGGCATTTTTAAAAATTAAGTATTTGTAAAAAATACCTGACAATATTGCCCCTACATTCACAGAACACTAGATCCCTCTGCCATATTCTAACACCTTTGGTCAGACAGAGGTAGAATCAGACTGAGGCTCCTGCTTCACTCCCTGCCTAGTGTCCGTGCCCACACCCCTGCTGGAAGGTGGGGGCCCTAATAAGTAGAATATAGGTGGGACCTAGTGACCCCTCTCACTGACCCCACCCTTGCTGGCGGGTGTGGACCCTAATATTTCTAATAAAGGCGAGGGACCTAGTGTTCCCTGCCTTGGCCCCTACCCTGCAAACATTAAGTGAATAACAATTTGCAATTGCAGTGCTGTAGATTGGTTCGGATGAGTTTGCAAAAACAGATTTTTTTCATCAGAACCAATGTTACAGAATCGGTCAAACTAACATATGACTTTACTAAATTTGAGCATTGTCAATGCGATCGGACTATGGAGAAGACACTGCAGCAACACTGCCCTGCTTAGCAGAGCATACAGTGTGATGGCTGATGAAGTCACTGCTCTGGGCAGGGAATGAAGCAGGAACCTAACAGTCTGATTCTACCTCATTTCAACTGGAGGTGTATCAATATGGCAGAGGCATCTAGTGTGCTCTGAAAGAAGGAGACAGATTTTCAGGTATTTTTTTAATTTACTTAATTTTGAAAAATGCCGTATCTTTTCATTACATGCTGGATTCTTATAATAAATAAATAAAATTTCTGGTGACAATTGTCCTTTAATCATGAAACATGTTTAATAATAATAATAATAATAATAATACTAATACTCACAGGGTACCCATTTTGAATTGATTTCCCTGTTAGTAGGTACGTCACGTGCACCTGGGCACTCTGATTCTCCTTCCTCTTCCGTGTGACATAGTCATACAGCATCCTGGAGACGGACAGTATTAGACAGCACACTCGTAATTACAGAAAATATATTTTACAATAACAAACCTCTTTTAAAAAAAAAAAAGGGGGAGACGTGATCTTTAGCACGTCAGTGTGTTTTGTTTTCTTCTTCTATGTGTCGACAATATTATGACACCGGGTAATCATTTACTCTATGACTGTTTTAACAAAAATCATATCGTACACACTAACTACAAGTCCAAGATGTAATGATTACAATGGGAAAAAGCATGGAGTCAAATGATTAATATAAAGTAAAAAAAAAAAAAAAATTACTGGTAAAAAAAAAACAACCCTTTTATTTTCACTAATTCTCTTTTTTGTTTTTGAACATTGTTGAGAAGCTCAGCAATATTATAAAAAGTCGAGTGACCAACATGAAGAGTTGCATACTGCTCCGATGAAAACCTGGGCTTTCACTGTAAATTCAATTATGTTTGTATCTTTTCGATGCAGACAGAACGCCAATTCTGTGCACATTTGGACGGCATTCCCTGGCTGAGCAAACCTAAATAAAATGAACGTGTGTCAGAATGTAATATGCTTACTGTTTTGCTTGGTTGACATGAACACCCAATGTATGGCTCAACCATTTGTAAGTCACCTGAAAAACACAGAAAATGAATTCAGAGTTACAGTTAAATTATACAAATTGTTTGCATCAATCTATACAGGTAAAGAAAACAATACAATCTATGTACACAAAGCGGTAATGTTTTCTGTATTACATTGTGTTAAAGAACCTTTCCAACCATTTTTGGGGGGTTGGATTTAAAAATATTAATAACTTTTTTGGGTTTTTTTTTTTTTTTTACCAACTTACCTGGAATCCAGCGCGGAGGGCATTCCACACCTCCATCCAATGTCAGCAGCAGGCCTTTGATTAGACTGCTGCACCAGCTCAAAGTGCATGTGCGCATTCTGAGCCGACGAGGGGAGGTAGAGAGGCTGGGAAACAGAATTTAAAAACAAAAGAATAAGAACCATTGAGGGTATAGGTAAGCAAAGATGCTCAACTCATTGAAGGAGGGGGTAGGGGAGCAAAAAGGCTTCAAAAGTACAATACGTCCATTGACAACATGAGCTGACAATGAACGAGTTTTTTGCACAGAATTTACATTTGGCAGACCAGAACAGAATTCCAGGCTGTCAAATGTACAATGGGTGTGACATAGCCTGTATGTGCTATGTTTCAAGTAGAACAGGCAGATCTGTACCACCATAACCCCTTCAAATGGCTGAAGTGGTCATGGTGCCTGGAGTGACCCTTTAAGCAATCAATGTAATTTAAAATAATTAACATTTAATTGACTAACCTTTTTAAAATGCTTGAAAGGGACACTTCATTTGCTGAAATGCTTTGTGTGAGAAGAGTGTCTTTTTTATTTTATTTATTTTTTATTTATTTAAAAAAAATAATTCTATAGAAATTGGTACTTTTATAAATATACCTTGTTACACTTCCTGGCTATCAATCAGATCACTCATTGTTATTTCTCAAAATGTGCACTTGCTAGTATTGTAATTAAAAAAAAAAAACATTTTAGTGCCGCTCGGACTACGACTGATTATATTCATTGTGTAAGTTATGGTAGGATCGTCCTACGTCTATTTTTATAAAATCAGAGTAAATTTCAAATTTTGGACCAAAACAGCCAAAGTGAGTAAGTGTGTAGTGTGGGATACAATTCGGTTTAGTGAGGTACAGTCAGTGTATACAGTGGAGGGGGGAGTTAGTGGGGTACAGAGTAAGTACAGTAAGCTGTGGGATGCAGTGGTGACCAGTTAGTGGCGTACTGTAATTGGTGAGGTGCAGTGGGGGGTAGTTAATTGGGTACAGTAATTTATGGGATATGTTTATTGAGGGGCAGTCAGTACATTGTATGTATTGGGGTGCAGAGTGGAGATAGGATAATCTGTGGGGTGCATGTATTAGGGAGGCAGTCAGTACATTGTATGTATTGGGGTACAGTAATTTGTGGGGTACATGTATTGAGGTGCAGTGTGGGGATAGGATTATAATCTGTGTGGTGCATGTATGAGGGGGCAGTCAGAACATTGTATGTATTGGGGTGCAGTGTGGGGATAGGATAATCTGTGGGGTGCATGTATGGGGGGGCAGTCAGTACATTGTACAGGTGATACTCGAAAAATTAGAATATCGAGCAAAAGTTCATTTATTTCAGTAATGCAATGTAAAAGAGGAAACTAATATATGAGATAAAGAACAGTAAGTAGATGGAGCCAAATTGGCTTTGTCTGGCCTATACAGTAGGCTATTTGTTGGCTATCTTGAACCTTTTCTTTGATGCATATATCTCGCATCATGTATTAGATACACCCTCTTCTGTCCTCCTAATATATGAGATAGACGCATTACATGCAAAGCAAGATAGTTCAAGCCGTGATTTGTCATAAGTGCGATGATTATGACTTACAGCTCATGAAAACCCCAAATCCACAATCTCAGTAAATTAGAATATTGTGAAAAGGTGCAATATTCTAGGCTCACAGTGTCCCACTCTAATCAGCTAAGGAAGCCATAACACCTGCAAAAGGGTTTCTGAGCCTTTACATGGTCTCTCAGAAAACCATCATTGATACTCTCCATAAGGAGGGAAAGACTCAAAAGGTAATTGCGAAGGAAGTTGGATGTTCCCTAAGTGCTGTATCAAAGTATATTAATAGAAAGTTATGTGGAAGGGAAACGTGTGGAAGAAAAAGGTGTACAAGCAGCAGGGATGACCACAGCCTGGAGAGGATTGTCAGGAAAGGCCATTCAAAAGTGTTGGGTACTTTCACAAGGAGTGGACTGAGGCTGGAGTCAGTGCATCAAGAGCCGCCACCACACAGACAGATCCTGGACATGGGCTTCAGATGTCGTATTCCTCTTGTAAAGCCGCTCCTGAACAACAAACAACTTCAGAAGCGTCTTACCTGGGCTAAAGAAAAACAGACCAGGTCTGTTGCTCAGTGGTCCAAAGTCCTCTTTTCTGATGAGAGCAGCTTTTGCATCTCATTTGGAAACCAAGGACCCAGAGTCTGGAGGAAGAATGGAGAGGCACACACTTCACGATGCTTGAAGTCCAGTGTGAAGTTTCCACAGTCTGTGTTGATTTGGGGAGCAATGTCATCTGCTGGTGTTGGTTCACTGTGCTTCATTAAGTCCAGGGTCAACGCAGCCGTCTACCAGGAGATTCTGGAGCACTTCATGCTTCCTTCCGCAGATGAGCTTTATGGGGATGCTGACTTCATTTTCCAGCAGCACCTGCCCACACTGCCAAAAGCACCAAAGCCTGGTTCAATGACCGTGGGATTACTGTGCTTGATTGGCCAGCAAACTCGCCTGACCTGAACCCCATAGAGAATCTACGGGGCATTGCCAAGAGAAAGACGAGAGACATGAGACCGAACAATGCAGAAGAGCTGAAGGCTGCTATTGAAGCATCCTGGTCTTCCATAACACCTCAGCAGTGCCACAGATAGTGCCACAGGCAGTAATTATAACAAAAGGGGCCCAAACCAAGTACTGAGTCCATATGCATGCTTATACTTTTCAGAGGTCCGATATTGTTTCTGTGTACACTCCTTGTTTTATTGATTGCATGTAATATTCTAATTTACTGAGATTGTGGATTTGGGGTTTTCATGAGCTGTAAACCATAATCATCGCACTTATGACAAATCACAGCTTGAACTATCTTGCTTTGCATGTAATGCGTCCATCTAATATATTAGTTTCCCCTTTTACGTTGCATTACTGAAATAAATGAACTTTTGCACGATATTCTAATTTTTCGAGTATCACCTGTATGTATTGGGGTACAGTAATTTGTTGGGTACATGTATTGGGGTGCAGTGTGGGGATATGATAATCTGTGGGGAGCATGTATGGGGGGGCAGTCAGTACATTGAATTGGGGTACAGTAGTTTGTGGGGTGTATGTATTGGGGAGCAGTAGATGTATTGGGGTGCAGTAAGCTGTGGGTGTATGTATTGGGGTGCATGTATGGGGGAGCAGTCAGTAAATTGTATTTATTGGGGAGCAGTAGTTTGTGGGGTGCAGTAATCTGTATGTATTGGGGTGCAGTAATCAGTGGGGTGCAGTAGTTATTGGGGTACAGTGTATGTATTGGGGGCAGTCAGTACAGTTTGTGGGGTGCATGTATTGGGGTGCAGTAGTTTGTTGGGTACATGTATGGGGGTGCAGTAATCAGTGGGGTGCAGTGTATGTATTGGGGGGCAGCCAGTAGTTTGTGGGGTGCAGTGTTTGTATTGGGGGGCAGTCAGTACAGTTTGTGGGGTGCAGTGTTTGAATTGGGGGGCAGTCAGTACAGTTTGTGGGGTGCAGTGTTTGAATTGGGGGGCAGTCAGTACAGTTTGTGGGGTGCAGTGTTTGTATTGGGGGGCAGTCAGTACAGTTTGTGGGGTGCAGTCAGTACAGTTTGTGGGGTGCAGTGTGGTGATCTCAGGTGATCTCTCCCATTAGTAACCGTGTGAGTGGCGGCCAGGCTGTATTGGGGTGCACAGTGTGTATGTGTATATATATATATATATATATATATATATATATATATATATATATATATATATATATATATATATATATATATATATTCGGGTGGTGCAGTGTGAATATATATATTCGGGTGGTGCAGTGTGAATATATATATTCGGGTGGTGCAGTGTTTATATTGGGGGTGCAGTAGTTGTTATTGGGGTGCAGTATATATATTGGGGGGTGCAGTGTGTATATATTGGGGTGCAGTGTGTATATATTGGGGTGCAGTGTGTATATATTGGGGTGCAGTGTGTATATATTGGGGTGCAGTGTGTATATATTGGGGTGCAGTAGTTGTTATTGGGGGTGCAGTAGTTGTTATTGGGGGTGCAATAGTTGTTATTGGGGGTGCAATAGTTGTTATTGGGGGTGCAATAGTTGTTATTGGGGGTGCAATAGTTGTTATTGGGGGTGCAATGGTTGGGGTTGTGGGGGTGCAATATTGTTGGGGGGGTGCAGTAGTTGTTATTGGGGGTTGCGTGTGGTAGTTGTTATTGTGGGGGTGCAGTAGTGTGTTGGGGGTGCAGTGGTTGTTGGGGGTAAGTGTAGTCATATTGGGGTGCAGTCAGTAGTTGTTATTGGGGTGCAGTCAGTAGTTGTTATTGGGGTGCAGTCAGTAGTTGTTATTGGGGTGCAGTCAGTAGTTGTTATTGGGGTGCAGTCAGTAGTTGTTATTGGGGGGTGCAGTCAGTAGTTGTTATTGGGGGGTGCAGTCAGTACAGTTATTGGGGTGCAGTGTGTATATATTGGGGGGTGCAGTCAGTACAGTTATTGGGGTGCAGTGTGTATATATTGGGGTGCAGTCAGTACAGTTATTGGAGTGCAGTGTGTATATATTGGGGGGTGCAGTGTATATATAGGGGTGCAGTGTGTATATATTGGGGGGTGCAGTGTATATATTGGGGTGCAGTCAGTACAGTTATTGGGATGCAGTGTATATATATTGGGGGGTGCAGTCAGTACAGTTATTGGGGTGCAGTGTATATATATTGGGGGGTGCAGTCAGTACAGTTATTGGGGTGCAGTGTATATATATTGGGGGTGCAGTCAGTACAGTTATTGGGGTGCAGTCAGTACAGTTATTGGGGTGCAGTCAGTACAGTTATTGGGGTGCAGTCAGTTTTCAGTTATTAGGTGCAGTCAGTACAGTTATTGGGGTGCAGTGTATATATATTGGGGTGCAGTGTATATATATTGGGGTGCAGTGTATATATATTGGGGTGCAGTCAGTACAGTTATTGGGGTGCAGTCAGTACAGTTATTGGGGTGCAGTCAGTACAGTTATTGGGGTGCAGTGTGTATATATTGGGGTGCAGTGTGTATATATTGGGGTGCAGTGTGTATATATTGGGGTGCAGTGTGTATATATATATATATATTGGGGTGCAGTGTATTGGGGGGTGCAGTGTGTAATATATTGGGGTGCAGTGTGTATATATATTGGGGGGTGCAGTGTGTATATATTGAGGTGCAGTGTATATATATTAAGGTGCAGTGTGTATATATATTGGGGGTGCAGTGTGTATATATTGGGGGTGCAGTGTGTATATATTGGGGGTGCAGTGTGTATATATTGGGGTGCAGTAGTTATTGGGGTGCAGTAGTTATTGGGGTGCAGTAGTTATTGGGGTGCAGTAGTTATTGGGGTGCAGTAGTTATTGGGGTGCAGTGTATATATTGGGGTGCAGTGTATATATTGGGGTGCAGTAGATATATTGGGGTGCAGTAGTTGTTATTGGGGTGCAGTAGTTGTTATTGGGGTGCAGTAGTTGTTATTGGGGTGCAGTAGTTGTTATTGGGGTGCAGTAGTTGTTATTGGGGGTGCAGTGTGTATATATTGGGGGTGCAGTGTGTATATATTGGGGGTGCAGTGTGTATATATTGGGGGTGCAGTCAGTAGTTGTTATTGGGGTGCAGTCAGTAGTTGTTATTGGGGTGCAGTATGTATATATTGGGGTGCAGTCAGTACAGTTATTGGGGTACAGTGTGTATATATTGGGGGGTGCAGTGTATATATTGGGGGGTGCAGTCAGTACAGTTATTGGGGTGCAGTGTGTATATATTGGGGGGTGCAGTCAGTACAGTTATTGGGGTGCAGTGTGTATATATTGGGGTGCAGTCAGTACAGTTATTGGGGTGCAGTCAGTACAGTTATTGGGGTGCAGTGTGTATATTGGGGTGCAGTGTATATATTGGGGTGCAGTAGTTATTGGGGTGCAGTCAGTACAGTTAGTGGGGTGCAGGAGTTATTGGGGTGCAGTGTATATATTGGGGTGCAGTAGTTATTGGGGTGCAGTGTATATATTGGGGTGCAGTAGTTATTGGGGTGCGGTGCAGTAGTTATTGGGGTGCAGTGTATATATTGGGGTGCGGTGCAGTAGTTATTGGGGTGCAGTGTATATATTGGGGTGCAGTAGTTATTGGGGTGCAGTGTATATATTGGGGTGCAGTGTATATATTGGGGTGCAGTAGTTATTGGGGTGCGGTGCAGTAGTTATTGGGGTGCAGTGTATATATTGGGGTGCAGTAGTTATTGGGGTGCAGTGTATATATTGGGGTGCAGTGTATATATTGGGGTGCGGTGCAGTAGTTATTGGGGTGCAGTGTTATTATTGGGGTGCAGTGTGAGTGGCGGCCAGGCTGAGACTCACTATTTTATTCTGGTCGGTGACCAGCTCGTCGATGTTCTCCAGGTACAGCTCGTCCATGGCCGCCGCCGGTGCTCTCAGCTCCCCGGGCAGGTTTGGCGCCGGATGTCGGACTGGAGGGACGGACAGTGCGCCTGCGCAATCTCTCGCCGCTCATTGGATAACGCAAACCGCCGCAGAGAATTCTGGCCAATCACCGATCACTACCGCGCACGTGCAGTTCTATCAACCACGCCCCTTCCCGTGTGTTTGGGTCTAGTGAGCGGTGGGCGTGTGAATGACCTGATAAACCCCGCCCACCTCCCAGCCTGACAAGTTTGGGGGACAGGACGGGTAGGCGGGGCGGTAAGAGGGGCGTGTCAGCAAACCCTATATGTACATCTGACTGACAGCCTGTCAGCCACGCCCCCCTGGCAGGCATCCTCTGAGTGCAGCTTATCTAATGGACAAAGAAGGATGCTTTCATTTTAGGGGTGTGGCCGGGGGTGTGTCCAGGGGCGGGGCTATTCTGGTGATTTACTAATAATTCATACAGGTATAATGTAGTTTGATGTAATTTAGAAGTGGAACAATGTATGGTATTTACACAGTTTCATTTCTGAACCCGTTTATTGCCGTCTAACCCCTTATAGTGGGACTGTCACCGTCTGGGGACTGTCAGAACTTGCAATAATCCCCAACAGTGACATCGCGTCTTGGGGTACGGTGGCTGGTGGGGTACGGTGGCTGGCAGGGTACGGTGACTGGCGGGGTACGGTGGCTGGCGGGGTACGGTGGCTGGCGGGGTACGGTGACTGGCAGGGTACGGTGACTGGCGGGGTACGGTGACTGGCAGGGTACGGTGACTGGCAGGGTACGGTGGCTGGCGGGGTACGGTGGCTGGCGGGGTACGGGGAGGGGACAGGTAAAGGTGAGTTCTACCTACCTGTGTGGTGAAAGTAACCCCGCCACGTGTTCTTGGAGGGGTCTGTTTGCCAGCCGCCTGCCTCAGGACTATGGGCCATGCACATCGGCTCATAAAAGACCTCGTTCGTCCCTTCTTGGCTATTTTGTTCGGTAGATTGCATTCCCCTCCTATTCTAATATTGTCCCTTTCGACTACCGAACAACCACACGAACCAGAGACCCCCCTGCAGCTTGTTAACACCTATTAACACCTTGGAATGTTTCTCACCGCAGTGTTCTAATTGTTCGTCTGGGTGGCCGCAATTCCTATGGACAACCACGAGGTGGCGGCCATCTTGTTCGTATGAACGCAGGCAGCGATGTTTGGGCATGAATCTCATGGAACTAAAATCAGACACAGAAACTCCCGAACACCGCTGGACTTCCATCATCGCTTGTGTTCGGTTCTATACAAGTCAGTGGGATCATTCATCTGTATGAGGGGAACAAGATCCAGGGAACCAGACTCTGTTTGGTAGTTTATTCGTTTTTAAACTACTGAACTAGTCCGACCGCAATCCCTGATTCTCTGGAACTATTTTGGGCATGGGACTATGCGAGCGGTCGGTCAAATAAATGACTTCCAGGAAATTCCTGAACCCCTGAACTGATCTGGGTGATTTTTGGATATGTTGGTCACTCAGGGCTATCAGGACATGTAACATTTGGGGTGTTTTGAGTGTTTTTGGGGTGTTTGTGAAAAAGTTTGTTTTTCTGTACTTGGAGATAATTGGATTAGATTGGTACAGTTCCTGATCCAATTATCTCCCCGGCATAAGGTCGGGATTGTATATAGGAGTGTCATGCTATACTCTGTGGAGTAGGAGAGGTTCACCCACTGGAAGCTGGATTCTGGTCTTGGGTCCAAGGTGGGTGGAGGACAGCGAGTTCCCAGCCAAACTGTAACGCTGGACGTGGGGACTATGGTGCTGATGGTGTCTGGTGGAGTGGTTGGAGTCCTCGGTAAGCACTAGGAGCATCGATTGGCGGAGGCACTGCCAGGCGGTCCGTCACAACCTGAACCGGTACCTCACGGGCACCGCCATATTCTTAGGACGGGTCCTCTACAACTGAAGCGGCAGAAGCAGGGACGGACTGACAATGCCTCAGGCCCCTGGGCAAAATTGGGACCTGGCCCCTTGGTATACATGATGGTGTAGATGTACCGTGTATTTGATTATATGTACATGTAAAGTGAATGTATGCTTCTGTGTGTATATTCACTGTGAGCCCTGGTGTTAGTTAATATATGTATATTTTTGTGTGTAGTATCAGGATCTGTGAATTCAGAGTATGTTAAAATACATGTTTTTTAGTTTTTTCAAATAGGGTAGTATTAATGTGTGTGTGTGTGTGTGTGTGTGTAGCATGGCAGTATGTATAAGGGAGTATTTGTGCAAAATGGCAATGTCTCTGAAAAAGGCATGCAGGCATCCAAATTTTGGGTCTTGACTGACTAACCATGTGCTAAAGGTTACGAACCACCATAAAGGGACACTATAGTCACCAGAACAACTATAGCTTAATGTAGTTGTTCTGGTGTGTATAGCCAGTCCCTGCAGGCATTTTAATGTAAACCCTGCCTTTTCGGAGAAAAGGCAGTGCTTACATTGCAGACTAGGGACACCTCCAGGGGTACTAGTGGTGCTTCCTGGGTCAGTGATAGGCAATGAGCAGCACTGATGTTCAGTGTCTCCATGCTCTGCTTGTATAGGGAGTGATGCAAGAGTGTAGGGGGTGATGAAAGGGTGTAGGGGTGATGAAGCGTGTAGGGGGTGATGAAGGGGTGTAGGTGGTGATGAAAGGTTTAGGGGGTGATGAAGGTTGTAGTGGTTGGAAATATAAGAGCTGTGAAAAAAAAAAATAATGTGTTCCCCCTTCCCAGAGCCTTACCTTTGTCCATGGAGAGGGGAGTTTTTTGTTTTTAAATGCAAGCTATTGTGACACCAGTGAGTCAGTGGCGTAGCGTGGGTTGTCAGCACCCGGGGCAAGGCAAGTAATTTGCGCCCCCTAACCCGTGGATTTTAGCACTCGAGTCTCTTCCACTAGATTAGTTAAAGAAACCCTTACCCCCCAAGCACATGTATTGTTTGTTATGAAAATACTTATGTAATTAAAGTAAAATGCATCTAAATACAAGTTTATTTTCCAACACTTTATTGAGTGCGAACATGCATTACACACATTCTCCACATTTTCAGCGGGTCTATGAATACAAATATACAAATGTAGTAACCTAGCATGGGCCATGCTATTATATGTCGTCTCACAACCATCGTAAATGACAAAAAATATCAAGAACAAAAACTAAACATCAAAATGGAACCATACCCTGGAGATGATCCAAGACTGGGCTAGATGGAGCCAACTTCCTCAATCCTGTACCTCTAATTGTAATTCTTTAATAGAAGTGCAAGATATCAATCTGTATATAATATACAGATTAATTTAAATTCGCCTGCTTTTAATTAGCGCAAATTTTTCAACAACGGAATAGTGTTTCTTTAATGTGAGGTAAATTAGAGATTAGTGCCACAAATAATATACTAGATTGCCTACCTACAACGAGATGAGGATGATGATGGGCTCTAGCTGCAGTCTGGCTCCACTGGTCTGGTGTAGAACAGGCTCTCTGGAGGCTGTTTGTAACTGTGGTCACAAAAATCAATATACTAGGAGAACGGGAAGCAGCTCCATTTTTGGGGGCCCTTTACACAGCTCAAGGTCTGGGTCCCAGGGTCCACCTTCATGTTCCACCAATGAGTTTGTTCACAGGGGGTGGAGTGTGTAGGGGATGTCCTGATATGTGTGTAAGGAATGCATTGTGGAATCTGTGTTTGTATGTGTAAGGGCTGCAAGGTGTGTTTCTGTGTATGTACAGGATGCAGTGTGTGCGTGTGTAAGGGGTGCATTGAGTGTGTGTAAGGAATGCATTGTGTGTTTCTGTGTGTGTAAGGGATGCATTGTGTGTAAGGGTTACATTGTTTGTGTGTGTGTGTGTGTGTGTGTAATGCCTTGTGTGTTTTTCTGTGTGCAAGGGGTGCATTGCATGTGTGTGATGGATGTCAATCTCTCCCCCCTCCCTTGTTACTCTCTTCTCCCCCCTCTCCCTCCCTTGTCACTCTCTTCTCCCCTCCCCCTTCCCACTCTCATTGCCCCTTCCTCCCCTGTAACTCTCACCCCCGTCAATTTCTTCTCCCCCCCACCAATTTCTTCTTCTCCCCCCTCCCCTACCAATTTCTTCTTCTCCCCCTCCCCTACCAATTTCTTCTTCTCCCCCCCTCCCCTCCCCATTTCTTCTTCTCCCCCCTCCCCTACCAATTTCTTCTTCTCCCCCCTCCCCTGCCAATTTCTTCTTCTCCCACCCTCCCCATTTCTTCTCCCCCCTCCCCTACCAATTTCTTTTTATCCCACCCTCCCCATTTATTCTCCCCTCCACCAGTTTCTGCTTGCCCCCTCCCCTCCCCATTTCTTCTCCCTCCTACCATTTCTTCTCCCCTCCTGCCAATTTCTTCTTCTCCTCGCCAGTTTCTTCTCCCCTCACAATTTCTTCTTACCCCTCCTCCCAATTTCTTCCTCCCCCCCTCTCCTCCTGATTTCTTCTCACCCCCCTCCCTCAATATTTCTTCTCCCCGTCCCTCACGTTTCTTCTTACCCCCTCTGACAATTTCTTCTCCCCCCCTCCCATCCCAATTTCTTCTCCCCCCCTCCCATCCCAATTTCTCCTTACCCCCTCCACTGACAATTTCTTCTCCCACCCTCCCCATTTCTTCTCCCCCCTTCCCTCCCAATTTCTTTCTCCTCCCCCCCACCTTTGTTGTAGCGTGGCCGAGCCCTGCAGCATGATGGTCTGCGGGTACAGGTTGCTTTTGTTTCCTGTACCCGGCCGGACTAACAGGAAGTGCACGCTCTGTGTGGGTACAGATGCTCCCTGTACCCGTCGGACCATCATGCTGCAGGGCTCGGCCACGCTACAACTGAGGTAGTGACAGGAGGGAGCGCTGAGCGCTTCCCTCCTGTCAGCCCCTCTCCTCAGGTTGCGCCCGGGCGGTGCGGTCCGCCCTCATGGACGCACCGCCCGGGCAAAGCTGCAGCCGCCTGAGGCTCTGTACAGAGCGCTCGGGCGGCTGCAGCATGGGGGGGGGGCCGGCCCTGAGCGCGCCCCCCCAGATGTTGCGCCCGGTGCGGACGGCCCTCCCTGCACCCCCCACGCTACGCCTCTGACGGAGGCACTTCCATTAAGTATTTCAAACCCAAATCTTTAGATGCCTCCTACTTAGGATGAACGTTAAACAGAAACGTTTTGTGCTGATATTTAAATATACTCTACAATAGCTGTTTCATTGTTTTGCTTAACTCGATTGCTTATTTACATAGTAGTTTATTAATTTAGTATAACCAGTATATATATATTTTACCTGCAATATCTTTTTTACTGGACTAACAGAATTCTGAAATGGCTAGCATCCAGGAAAAGTTCCCTTTCTCAAGTCTAAAGCATTTAAATTTGAGAAAGGGAGGTTCTCTCAAAACCTTGTCATTCCAATATCCTGTTAGTCCAAAAAAAGTATTACAAGGTACTAATTTCATCTGTTATTTCACATCTGCATCACTGGACTAATATGGCTACACTCTCTGTCCTACTTTTTTGTTCTATATATATGAGATGACGCTTGTTTTTTTAGATTTCAGTTAACTATTTTTTCTGACAATTTTTTTCCCCAGCTGACTTGATAATTAGTTGAGAAGATTTTTCTTTAATGTAAATGACTAGATTCGTTTTCAGTAATTTCAATAATTGCATTCTTATTACATACAATTATTTTTTACATTTCTGACTTAACAGGTTAGTTAGAAAAGGAAAATGGTTCTCATCTCTGTTCATTCTTTTATTATTTTAAACTTTAGTATGAACTTATAATTGTATTGTATTCGAGTTTGTATGAACTGCATAATGAAAAAATTACATTTAAACAGAGGCATTGAACATATCCACTGCATTAGAGGTGGTGATAAACGAAACAAAAAAAAAGAAAAAGAAATGTTTTGGATATATTATTTGTGGACAGTTTGATAAAAAATTTGATTTAGCAATATTGGTTTCCAAAACACATTGTAGCTTTGCTTTAAATATGATATGTCTTGTTTCAACTTTGTGTTTGCATTATTTAGGCCAAATAAACAAATCACAAAAAAGTAAAATAGATTGTTATCTAATGAACCTCCGTCCATGTGTTCAATAAAGGCAATACTCTGATCTCTACTCTTACAGCCAGGCAGCCGTGTTCGTGGGTACTCTGAAACTGAAATGTTCTGAGGCTCAGATGGAAACGCTGGCTGAACTCTTAACATCCCATATGGGGTTTGGAACAGTTAGTAGATGGGGCCCTGAGATCTTTATGGAGGTTGGAACACTATCAGGTAATAATATTCATATTTCCACTAATTGTATTTCTAGTACTCTACATGTACCAACATTGTGTCACTAACAACATCACAAAATGTTACCCTATGAGTCTAGGACATATATTTCAGAAACAGGGACAGCTTTAACCTCATGTACCTTGAGTGATTATATCTATGCATGGTCTTCAATAACAAATGGATACACAAGCAAAAGACACAGTATAACACCTCTTTACTTTATAATACATATTATAGAGATGTAGCATGGTAATAAAACTTGGCTTTACTCCTCCAAAATCTCCAACCGACATCAATTTGACTTTTTATGTGGTGCCTACTGGGTTTGACTTCTTACATGGGGTCCACTGAGCTCCACTCTACACCTCAGCTATTCCTCAGTGAAACCTGGAAGCTAATGTTTTCAGTCGATGCTCTAGTCAGTTTGACTTCTTACAAGGGGGTTCCATGGAACCCCTAGATCCATTACCACTAAAGCATGCTATTGTCACAAATGTGTCATAGGTTCCCAAGGATTCTCTTTGAGAAGCATTGGATTGTACTGAGTGTATCAGCTATGTTATATAAGACTTTACTCAGCAGCTGCTTAGAGGAGACTGCCTCTATGCTGGGCTACAGCTAAGTAAAATTGTGGGTTGTTTTTTGTTCCGTGGCATGGCTCATCTTCCTTTCCGCCAGACCGCACCTCCTACGCCTCCCCAGGTGCCCCCCTCTGTCAGTCACTGCATGTGCTTCACATAAGATGTAGGGCTCTCAATTTAAAATTCCTCATTCATGCTTTCAAATCTACATAATGCTGGTCCCACCTGTCTACCCTCCCTAATACACAAGTATGTCCCGTCAAGGCCCCTACGCTTTAGCGAAGAACTACATCTATCCTCTGTCTGTACTCCCACCTCTGATGCTCACATTCAAGACTTCTCTAGGGCAGCACCTTTTTTGTGGAACTCCCTTCCCTTCTCCGTTAGAATTTCACCCAGTCTCCACTCCTTCAAAAAAATCATTGAAAACTTACTTCTTAACAAAAGCATATCAATTAAACTGTTAATAGCTCCCAAATAATAATAATAATAATTATCATTATTATTATTTTTTTTTTTGTGGGAGGCCTAAACCTAAAAAAAGAAAGGAACACATGAAGGTTACAAATAAATATATTTATTTTTACTCTCAAAATATTCCTTTAAACTGCTTATTTTGCATTGTAACCTATGTGTAAGGACTGCTAAATTGATATTAATGATTAAGTTCTAATATGGTTAATTTGCTATAACAAAGAAGTGTAATGAAGCAAAACAAGCATGCCATAAAAAGAGATAATTAACTATACTCTGAGCTAATTTGCCTTTTGACTATTTATTCCTGTAACTAATTAGCTGGCCTTCCAGACATTGTCCTGTCTTCCCTGATAAGAGACCAGATTCAAGGATTGACTCCCGATGCCATCACCCTTATTCCAGCACCAAGGTTTTCTGTAAGTGAATGTGCATTTATGAAACCATTTATTAAAAAATTTATTGGGTGATAGATGACTGGTATGAATTAAACCTTTTTTTTTTTTTCCATGTTTAATCTTTATCGGAAGTTATACACAGTTGTAACAAATACAACTATGGTTTGGTACATTAGAGTACCTTTTTAAAGATAAACATTATCCACAACCAC